TACTCTCTGTGTGTTTCACAGGTGGTGTCTGCACGGGGTTCTCAGTACTCTCTGTGTGTTTCACAGGTGATGCCTGCACAGCGTTCTCAGTACTCTCTGTGTGTTTCACAGGTGATGCCTGCATGTGGTTCTCAGTACTTTCTGCGTGTTTCACAGGTGATGTCTGCACAGGGTTCTCAGTACTCTCTGTGTGTTTCACAGGTGATGTCTGCACGGGGTTCTCAGTAATCTCTGTGTGTTTCACAGGTGATGTCTGCATGCGGTTCTCAGTACTCTCTGTGTGTTTCACAGGTGGTGTCTGCACGGGGTTCTCAGTACTCTCTGTGTGTTTCACAGGTGATGCCTGCATGCGGTTCTCAGTACTCTCTGCGTGTTTCACAGGTGATGTCTGCATGCGGTTCTCAGTACTCTCTGTGTGTTTCACAGGTGATGTCTGCATGCAGTTCTCAGTACTCCCTGTGTGTTTCACAGGTGGTGTCTGCACAGCGTTCTCAGTACTCTCTGTGTGTTTCACAGGTGATGCCTGCATGTGGTTCTCAGTACTTTTTGCGTGTTTCACAGGTGATGTCTGCACAGGGTTCTCAGTACTTTCTGTGTGTTTCACAGGCGATGCCTGCATGCGGTTCTCAGTACTCTCTGTGTGTTTCACAGGTGTTGCCTGCATGCAGTTCTCAGTACTCTCTGTGTGTTTCACAGGTGATGCCTGCATGGGGTTCTCGGTACTCTCTGTGTGTTTCACAGGTGATGTCTGCACAGGGTTCTCAGTATTCTCAGGTGATGCCTGCATGGGGTTCTCAGTACTCTCTGTGTGTTTCACAGGTGATGTCTGCACAGGGTTCTCAATATTCTCAGGTGATGCCTGCACAGGGTTCTCAGTATTCTCAGGTGATGCCTGCATGCAGTTCTCAGTACTCTCTGTGTGTTTCACAGGTGATGTCTGCACAGGGTTCTCAGTATTCTCAGGTGATGCCTGTATGGGGTTCTTAGTATTCTCTGCATGTTGCATACTTGCCATTTTACATGATGCTTTTCTGAAGCACACAGTGCAGTTAGGAAGACAGTGTATAATTAGAAGGTCACCAGCATTGCAGGTTGGCTCAGAAAGAATGCCAGGCCCTCTGTGTGAATCTTAGAACTCACGGGAGAGTGGAAAGACAGAGTTCTGGACTGTTTGGAAGACCCACAATCTGGGGTGTGGGAGGAAAGAGAAGGAGCCAAGGCAGGGAGGGGAAGCTCCCCAGGTGTGGGCACGCAGAGCAGGAGCATGTCCTATTCTCTCTCCAGCTGGCTTTACCTCCCTCTGATGGGGCAAGGCATTTGCTGCTTTCTGTTCCCAGTAATGAGGACAGAGATGAATGGGGTATTTTAAGTTGTGGGATATGGGACAGGAGAGAGAAGAGAGGTTAGAGAAGGAAGAGGATGACCCCGCATGACCCCACTAGATGGATCACAGAGGCAGAAGAATGCAGGGAGAGGGGCAGCCGGCTCTAGGGAGGGACATGGAAGGCTGAGAGAAGGAGAAGCTGAAGGTGACCTCAGCTGTGTATCTACCACCTGTGGCCAAGGGCTGAGGCCACATTGAGCTGGGGAAGAATGGGAAGCTCCCCTGCTACATGGGACCAAGGTTGCAAGAGTGCAGGAGACAGTGAAGACCCCCAATGGCATCCAGTACCCAAGAGGGCACAGGAGGCAGTGAAGACCCCCAATGGCATCCAGTACCCACGAGAGCACAGGAGACAGTGAAGACCCCCAATGGCATCCAGTACCCACGAGAGCACAGGAGACAGTGAAGACCCCCAATGACATCCAGTACCCAAGAGGATGCAGGAGACAGTGAAGACCCTGAATGGCATCTAGTACCCACGAGAGCGCAGGAGGCAGTGAAGACCCCCAATGGCATCCAGTACCCACGAGAGCACAGGAGACAGTGAAGACCCTCAATGACATCCAGTACCCATGAGAGCACAGGAGACAGTGAAGACCCCCAATGACATCCAGTTCCCACGAGGGTGCAGGAGACAGTGAAGACCCCCAATGACATCCAGTACCCACGAGGGCACAGGAGACAGTGAAGACCCCCAATGACATCCAGTTCCCACGAGGGTGCAAGAGACAGTGAAGACCCCCAATGACATCCAGTACCCATGAGGGCGCAGGAGACAGTGAAGACCCCCAATGACATCCAGTATCCACGAGGGTGCAGGAGACAGTGAAGACCCCCAATGACATCCAGTCCCCACGAGGGTGCAGGAGGCAGTGAAGACCCCCTGAGAGCATCCACTACCCATGAGAGAGCAGGAGGCAGTACCATCAATAAAAGGGGTTTCTCAGAGAAGCGTATGTCTTAGAACAGAAGACACAGCCCCAAAGGGAGAGGTGCAGAAGGAAAAGTCACCACTCCAGGCAGGCAACTCCAGCAGCAAACACCACCACTGCAAGGGGAGCTGCAGCGGCAGACAGCACCACCACTGCACGGGGAGCTGCAGCGGCAAACAGCACCACCACTGCACGGACAGCTCCGGCAGCAGACAGCACCATCACTGCACAGACAGCTCCGGCAGCAGACAGCACCACCACTGCATGGACAGCTCCGGCAGCAGACAGCACCACCACTGCAGGGACAGCTCCGGCAGCAGACAGCACCATCACTGCACGGACAGCTCCGGCAGCAGACAGCACCACCACTGCATGGACACCTCCAGCAGCAGACAGCACCACAACTGCAAGGGGAGCTGCAACGGCAAACAGCACCACCACTGCATGGACACCTCCGGCAGCAGACAGCACCACCACTGCAAGGAGAGCTGCAACGGCAAACAGCACCACCACTGCATGGACACCTCCGGCAGCAGACAGCACCACCACTGCAAGGGGAGCTGCAGCGGCAAACAGCACCACCACTGCACGGACAGCTCCAGCAGCAGACAGCACCAACACTGCATGGACAGCTCCAGCAGCAGACAGCACCACCACTGCACGGACAGCTCCGGCAGCAGACAGCACCAACACTGCACGGACAGCTCCGGCAGCAGACAGCACCACCACTGCACGGACAGCTCGGGCAGCAGACAGCACCACCACTGCACGGGCAGCTCCAGCAGCAGACAGCACCACCACTGCACGGACAGCTCCGGCGGCAGACAGCACCAACACCGCATGGACACCTCCGGCAGCAGACAGCACCACCACTGCAAGGGGAGCTGCAGCGGCAAACAGCACCACCACTGCATGGACACCTCTGGCAGCAGACAGCACCACCACTGCAAGGGGAGCTGCAGCGGCAAACAGAACCACCACTGCATGGACAGCTCCAGCAGCAGACAGCACCACCACTGCACGGACAGCTCCGGCAGCAGACAGCACCACCACTGCACGGACAGCTCGGGCAGCAGACAGCACCACCACTGCACGGACAGCTCCGGCAGCAGACAGCACCACCACTGCACGGACAGCTCTGGCAGCAGACAGCACCACCACTGCACGGACAGCTCGGGCAGCAGACAGCACCACCACTGCACGGGCAGCTCTGGCAGCAGACAGCACCACCACTGCATGGGCAGCTCTCACTCAAGTGCCCCATGGGCTTCCTCTGCCGTCCTTCTCCTCCAAGACAGGAGCAAGAAGAAAGCACAGAAATGGTTGGTCACACGTCCCTCCCTCTCACTGCAATTTCACATTCCTTCTATTTAAAAACTGCCATCATGGCTGTGAGGGCAGAAGAGCTCCGGTCCTCAGACAGGGAGAAGCTGACGGCTGCAGACAGGGAGAAACTGTCTCACTCTGGGCATTAAACCTTCCCTTAAGGAGTCAGCCGATGCTGTGAAAACCATTATCTACTTGATTTCTGCATTTGTTATCTCCAAAGTGGAAGCTGTATTTTATTAGAACCCACTGCAGGATGGTCTTGGGAAAAGGCTGTGGGGAAATAAATGGGCCAGAACCTTCTCCATATCACAGAGCCGCAGGAACCCACAGGCGCCCTTCTCCCCTGGGCCCGCCCTGACATGGGTGAACTCCGGTAGCAACACTGGAAGCCCCAGTCCTGGCATTGCAGTTGCCTTGAGGCCGACACTCTCCCCCAGCGCATGGTGAATGGCACAGAATCCAGACAGGGGCTTGGAGGACTTGGCCAATCGCCATAAACATGGGCGACAGCCGCATGCTCGGCCACAGGGAGGGGTGAGACTGGCAACAAAAGACACTGGACTTAGAGTGCTCAGAGCCAACTTTCCAAAACAGAGGTGGACAACACAAGCTGTGGCCAGACCCATCCTGGGAGCCACGTTCCCTGCCCCATCCCTCAGCTTCATCAGTAAAACTGTGACATAGTAAAATCTGGGGAAGGGATGAACAAAAAGTAAGAAGGGAACACACTGTCCCCAGACCCTCAGCAGTGCCTCCTCCTCTCCCAGACCCTCAGCAGTACCTCCCCCTCCCCCAGACCCTCAGCAGTGCCTCCCCCTCCCCCAGACCCTCAGCAGCGCCTCCCCCTCCCCCAGAACCTCAGCAGCTCTTCCCCCTCCCCCAGACCCTCAGCAGCTCCTCCCCCTCCCCCAGACCCTCAGCAGCACCTCCCCATCCCCCAGACCCTCAGGAGCATCTCCCCCTCCCCCAGACCCTCAGAAGTGCCTCCCCCTCCCCCAGACCCTCAGGAGCGCCTCCACCTCCCCCAGACCCTCAGGAGCACTTCCCCTCCCCCAGGCCCTCAGGAGTGCCTCCCCCTCCCACCAGCCACTGTGTCCCCTGTCCTCATACCCTCAGGAGCACCTCCTCCTCCCACTGGCCACTGTGTTCTCAGGTCATGAAATGACCACATGTTCCTTTCCAGCACAGAGAGGGAGTGAGGACCAAAGGGACCCTTCCCCCCACGGTGTCCTATTCCTGCCATGCGTCCTCAGGGGCAGTAGTGTGCAGACCCCACGTGTGGGAAGAACATGGCACATTTGCCATTGGGAGGGGCTAGATGGAGACCATCAGCAAACCAGGCGGGGCTGACTCACCTTCACCAGTGCTGGGGGAGTCGTTGGGGTCTCCCAGAGGTGAAGACCACTTCTGGGGGGTGGCTGGTGCCAGCAAGGGCCTGGACATCCTTGGGGGTGCATGCAGAAGGTACTGTGGCTCCGAGCCGCCCTCCCCGGGAGGAGCTGGGGGCCTTCGGGCAGCATAGGCACCAAGGGCTGCCATCAGATGGTGTCTGTCCACCTTAGGGCTGAGTTCATCTGGCTGTAGCTGGCTGAGGGTCCGAGGCAGGAGGTCCTCGGGGAGCTGGGCCTGAGGCCCAGGAGGGTAGGTCAGCGCAGACGTGTGGGCCATGTAGGTCAGGAGGCTCTCAGAGAAGGGGTCGTCACCCTGGAGGGAGATGGGAGCAAACAGGGTAAGCGTCATGTTTCCAGCGTCAGCCACGTGTGCCAAGATGCCCCTCAGACTCAGGGAGGTCCTGGTCCTCAACCGCCCTGGACATCTCTGAAAGGTAAAGTCACAACAGGACTCTCCTTTTCACTCTGACCAACCCAGATCCCTGTTTCATACTTGCTCTTACATTATCTTCTAACAACAGCTTTATGGAGATAATTCACCCACTTCAGCAGTTTTTAGTGTATTCATAGACTTGTGAAATATCACAACTAAGCCAAGAACATCTGTATCATCCGAAAAGAAAGGCTGCAGCCATTCCACCCCTCCCCATACTGGCACCGCTCATTCGCTTTCCGTCTCTATGGACTCAGCCTCTCCTGGATGTTTCCTGTAAAGGGATTCACAATCACACCACGTGTGGCACCTGGCCTGCCTCAATCACACCACATGTGGCACCTGGCCTGCCTCAATCACATCACATGTGGCACCTGGCCTGCCTCAATCACACCACGTGTGGCACCTGGCCTACCTCAATCATACCACATGTGGCACCTGGCCTGCCTCAATCACACCACGTGTGGCACCTGGCCTGCCTCCTTTCCCTCAGCTTGACATCCTCAGGTGCAGCCAGACCAGGGCCAGGCCTGGGTCAGGATGTCCCTCCCCTTGAAGGCCAAAAGCTACCCCATGGCATGGACATTCCACATCTTAAAAACTCACTCATCAGTTGACGGACATTTGCTCTTTTCAACCTTCTGGCTATTTTGAATAATGCCACCATGAGTCTCCATTTATGAGTCTTTGCATAAATGCGCTTTCAACACTCTTGGGTTTACTGGAGGATGTCACCCGGTAACTCGACATTTAACTGATGAGGAACTCCCAGACACAGCAGCAGCATGAGCAGTCTCACAGTAACTGCAGATTCCAGTTCCTCTGCGTCCCTGCCCACACTTGCTATTGTCCATTTTTACTGTGACCGTCCCAGTGCTTGGAGCGTGATACCTTGCTGTGTCACTTTCGTAAGGCCTGGAGCCTCAGATGTCCTGCACCTGGAGCCTCCAACCCAGCTGTAACTAAAGGCCCTTTGCGGCTCTGGGTCACTGCGTTCGCAGCAGTGAGCGGAGCTGATCACTCACAGCAACAGGAGGAGCTGGTCCCAGGCACATTCATGAGGCTCGGCAGCGTACCCCGTGCCCCTTACTGACCACTTGTACATCTTCTCTGAAGAAACATCTGTTGGTATTTTTCACCTGCCCTGGCCTTTATTTTAACCCCAAACAGCAGCTCCCCAATAGCTGCATCTCTCGCTCAGCAACATTCAGCAGAGGCCTCAGTGCTGTGTCTGGAGGTTTTCAAGCCAACTCCTTCACTGAGGCCTTGAAACATTCTGCAGCCTGCTCTTTCAGCTGTAATGTTCTGCAGCAGGGAAGATGCCAGGGTCGCTTGTTCAATAATCACCTAACACATCACCTACTAATCAATGCCCTGGCCAACATGGTCTTTCATGGAATTTCTGTCCATATTTTCTCCTCACTCATGTAGTAAAATTCCCCAGGAGGACATGTCCTCATCACGCTTTGTGCCAACAGACAAACTGAGGCCCAGCTGTCCTCACCTCTAGGGCAGCTGTAAAAATGTGAGAAATCCCATGTTCTTCCTCTGACTTGTGCTTCACCAAAATGTCACGGACAAGCTGAGTGCTAATAATCTCCAGCTTAGAGACTTTCAAATCCTGGACACACAGGTCCAGCTCCCTGGAGGCCGCATAGGGGTGTGGATGACGCACTTTAAATCCCATCCACTCGTACTTTCTACTCGTGACTCCTTGGGGCACATGACCAGTGTTGTGTCAATGGAGGTGCACACCTGGGCATCAAGCTGAGGGTGCACAGCCCTCACTGACCATGAGGTAAGATGGGGGTCTGACTCCCAAGTCTGGCTATTTCTGAAAATATTTGGGTTCATGCTCTGGGGAACAGGTTTTTCAACAGCAACCTGGAAGTTGTGAAATGGGTTGATATAGATTGGGTTTGTTTTTTTGCTGTTTTTTTTTGAGACAGAGTCTCCTGTTACCCAGGCTGAAGTAGAGTGGAGTGATCTTGGCTCACTGCAACCTCTGCCTCCTGGATTCAAGCAATTCTCATGTCTCAGCCTCCCAAGCAGCTGCGACCACAGGCACACACCCCCATATCTGGCTATCTGGGGTGTGTGAGTGTGTGTGTGTGTGTGTGTGTGTGTGTGGTTTCTTAGTAAAAATGGGTTTTCACTATGTTGGCCAGGCTGGTCTCAAACTCCTGGCCTCAAGTGATCCACCTGCCTCAGCCTCCCAAAGTGCCGACACTGGTGTCCAGCAGGGTTGACATAGGTTCTAATTTCAGTTCTCATACATGAACTTGGGGTCTCACCCCGTCATCCAGGCTGGAGTGCAGTGGCACAGTTGCAGCTGACTGCAACCTCTGCCTCTTGGGTTCAAGCAGTTCTCCTGCCTCAGCCTCCTGAGTAGCTGACATTACAGGCACCTGCCACCACATTTTTATATTTTTAGTAGAGACGGGGTTTCACCCTGTTGGCCAGTCTGGTCTCCAACTCCTGACCTCAAGTGATCCGCCTGCCTCAGCCTCCCAAAGCGCTGCAATTACAGGCATGAGCCACCGTGCCCAGCCATTATTTCTAAGATATTTTAATTATTTACAAAGTGATGTGGCTTAGGTATCATCCAAATTGTTTAATTTTGTCCAAGAACTAGCTGAAATCAACCATCCTTCCCTTTGGAAAGAGAGTGTGTGAGACAGCACGAGTGCTCGCGAACGACAGTGACTGTTCCCACCACAAACAGCCCCTCCAGCAATTTCCCACAAATTGGGTCTAAGTGTCAATCTCCAGCTCGGCCCGAGCTGCCTTTGCAAAGGCTGTCTCTGAACACCTGGTCAGGGCACCGTGCGGGGGCTGGGGATCTGTGTCTAAATCCCTCATTACACGCCTGCGAGCAGCTCTCCCCTCGCTGCTGCCAGTGCAGCAACCTGGAGCTTCCACTCAAAGGGCCTTTAATTAACGCCGAGTTGGAAGCTCCAGGTGCAGGACTTACAAGGCTCGGTGAACAACACAATCATAGCAGACTGATCTGTGCAGCCGGCTTGGATAAACAGTCTATTTTTGGTTTGTGTATGTTCTGAATCAAATTAAGGTGAAGAAGAAAAAGAGTATTGCAGTAGTTAGCACAAACAACAGAGCCTGCAGAAATAACAGCAAACATGGGTTTCCAAGAGCCACTCCAGCTATTCAGCACCCGACTGCAGACGCTACGGCGCTCCTCACTAGGGTGAGGTGACCAGGCCATAATCAAGAGGGCCTGAGACGGAAAACACACACGGGCAGTGAAGAAAAGTGTCACGGCGACTGGCTAGTGTGTGGTATGAAGTCCCAAAGGAGAGGGTGCGGGCTCTGGAACTGCCTGGGTTTAAACTACCCCTGATGCTGGAAGCATAGTGGCCTTTGCGTCAGCAAGTTATTAAGTCATCTATAAAACACGGATGATAAGAACAGTACCTGGCACAGCAGCGTTAATGGCTGTGACTACACCTATTATTGCTATTATTTACTTCACCTTCTTTCACCTTCACATTCTTTAAAGCTCTCAGGAAATCCGTGTCTCCGCTGAGGAGGAACTAGCTGATCATGCTGTTCCTTCTGCCTTCAGCTCTGAGTTTAAAATTCTGTGCCTCACTTTCAAATCCCCTATTGTGAAGATGTTTTAAGTCTCAGTTCAACATACCAATGATGTGAGATTTCTGAAGAAAATGTGGAATAATTTCTAAGAGTGTAGCTGCCCAAGCCTGGAAATTAGCAGCCTAAAAGCACGGACACGAACGCATTTCCAGTACAGGCTATGGACACTGCTGGTGCATGAACTCCTCAAACTACGTGTAAGAGAAACCCTGCTGAGCACCTCTGCTGTGGCCCAGCTGTGTGTGTGGAGCATTGAGAGCTTCTGCCAAAGTCTGCTGATGTTTCAGCTGACATGATGTTCTCCTGGGAATATTCTTCAATCCACTGCACTTCCACTCACCCAGACACTGAAAAAGCCAGCAGAAAGAAGGCTCACAGAGAGACTGGCCCAATCCCGTCAGCTCTGTGTAACCTGTGTTAAGTGTGGACCACTTATCTAAACTCTTGAGGCCTCACTTTCACCATCTGCAAAACTGGAAAAGTAATTCTGTTTTCTTTAAAAGCAGCTGTGAGGATGAGGGAGAGTATAGCTAAGATTGACTTGCTCAGCACAAGACTCAGAGGAGGAACTTGATAAATGGCAGTCATTGGCAGTATCATCATCACCATTAGTGTCACTGCCACCATCTGCAGCAGCATCCTCCCCAGTCATCATCCTCACCATCATCATCCTCACCATCGTCATTCCCACCATCATATCCACCATCATCCCCACCATCGTCATCCTCACCATTATCATCCTCACCATCGTCATCCTCACCATCATCATCTTCACCATCCACACCAGCAGACCTACCATCCACAGTAGCATCCCCATCATCGTCCCCACCACCATCATCCCCACCACCATCATCCCCACCACCATCATCCCCACCATCACCATCTCCACCATCATCATCCACACCACCATCATCCCCACCATCATCATCCTCACCATCCACACAAGCATTCCCATCATCATCCTCACCATCATCATCCCCACCATCATCATCCTCACCATCATCATCCCCACCATCATCATCCACACCATCATCATCCTCACCATCACCCTCACCATTATCGTCCCCACCATCATCATCGCCACCATCATCATCCACACCATCATCATCCCCACCATCATCACCCCCACCATCAGTGTCACCTCCATCATCAGCAGCATCCAACCTCTATTGCTGTTGTGTGCCAAGCCCTGGGGTTATATGAAGGAAGAATAACTCAGACATGGTCCTGTCCTCAAACATGAGTGGAGCCACAGACCTTAACAA